ACCTGGGCGGCGACAGTGAGGACGAGGCGGTGGGCCCGGGGCCGGCTCCGGCCCGCACCAAGGAGGGCTTGCGGCGCTTCCTGGACGGGCTCCTGGACGGGCGGGCGCAGCCCCAGCTGTCAGAGCACACGCTGGAGACACAGGTGGCCGAGCTGCTGGCCCAGGGCCGCACCAAGCCCCCCGAGCACAGCACAGCCGCTGCCCGCAAGCTCCTCGTCTTCACCACGGGCTGCCTCACCTACTCGCCGCACCAGATCGGTAGTGGGGGCAGGCCCTCCCCAGTCGCTGGAGCCGGGGCGGGGGGAGGGACGGCGAAGCTTCCCTGCAGACTGGGGGGTAGGGGGGAGGCCAGGGTCCCGTGGCCACGCAGGGAGCGAGACTGGGGGGCCCAGCCGCGCTTCAGCCTCCCGGACGGTGTGTTCCGTGGGGGCCTCTGATTCAGATGTGCTCCCGGTGCCGAGGTGACGCTGCTCCCCTCACCCGGCGCCCCCGCAGGCATTAAGCAGATCCTGCCACACCAGATGACCACAGCCGGGCCTGTGCTGGGTGAGGGGCGGGGCTCAGATGCCTTCTTTGATGCCCTGGACCACGTCATCGACGTGCACGGACACATCATCGGCATGGGCTTGTCCCCGGACAACAGGTGGGCCCCCGAGAGTGTCCTGGGGCGAGGGGTGCTCTGCGGGCCCCTGGTACCAAGCAGGGTGCCCCTTGCCCAGGTATCTGTACGTGAACAGCCGAGCCTGGCCGAGCGGTTCTGTGGTGGCCGACCCCATGCAGCCACCGCCCATCGCAGAGGAGATCGACCTGCTGGTGTTTGACCTCAAGACCATGCGAGAGGTGAAGCGGGCTCTGCGGGCCCACCGCGCCTACACACCCAACGACCAGTGCTTCTTCATCTTCCTGGATGTCAGCAGGGACTTCGTGGCCAGGTAGTGGCGCGGGCCGGGGCAGGGCCGGGCCGGGTGTGGCGGGCAGGGGGCTCACGCCAGGCTCTCCCGCAGCGGGGCCGAAGACCGGCACGGCTACATCTGGGACCGGCACTACAACATCTGCCTGGCGAAGCTGCGGCACCAGGACGTGGTCAACTCTGTGGTCTTCAGCCCCCAGGAGCAGGAGCTGCTGCTGACGGCCAGCGACGACGCCACCATCAAAGCCTGGCGTTCGCCGCGCACCGTGCGCATCCACCAGGCCCCGCGTCCTCGTCCCCACCCGTTTTTCTCCTGGTTTGCCAGCCAGAAGCGCTGAGGGGGGCGCTGGCCGACCGGAGCGTCCCGG